TGTGTCCCAATATTCAAACAGCTTCATAATATTTTAAAAAATCCAGGTAAGGTTGCTTTTTAGACTTGAAGGATGCTTGGATGAAGTGCTGCTATTGTGGTTTAATTTATTGACTATGACCCACTTTGAAGGTTATTGACATAAGTGTGCAGTCTACAAACAACTTCACAATTATCTAAAATCCCAGGATGCTGATAGTGGAGCCTTTTACATGTAGGAATGAAATGCTGCCATTGTTGGTTTATTGAATTACCTGGACCCATTTTCAAGGTTACAGTGGCAATTATGCATTCTACCAGCAACTTCTCAGTAATCTAAAAGCCCTGGATGCTGATATGGGGCCTGTAAAATGCTAGAATGAAGGACTACCATGACTATATAATAAATTACCTTAACCCATTTTCAAGGTCACAGGATGTTAAAGGCAACTTCTTTTTCCTGTCAATGATAAAAACCCATGGTACTGATATTGGTTATGGGACATGCTCGGATGAAAGGCTAAGTTTATGAAAATAAATTATTCTGACCACCTTTGAATACAGTGGGGTCAAATATGACAAAGAACTTTGAACAACTTGTCAATAACCAAAAGGCAGAAGGTTCTGATATTTGACCTATAACATACTTGAATGAAGGGCATCCATGTTTATGAAATTAATCAATGGTAACACACTTTCAAGGTCAAACATTTTCTTTTCCACAAGGAATAGGTCTTGGGTATGGTATTTGTATAGTAGTATTCTTTCAGAATAGGATTTCACTTTTGCAGAAATTACTTAACAAGTCAACAAAGTCTTTTTATGTAAGCTGCAGAATAGATGAGCCATTGGTTCTCCTTAAATTAATATGATACAAAATGTACTTTTAAGCTAATCGTAATGCTACCTTTAAGTTTCTCTAAATCCATCCTATTTCAGTGAGGTGCGTGTTCAACTTGACTTGCTAGTGGCAGTTTGTGCTTTTCATGAAGTTGAGAGATGGACAAAATGCACCGCTCTGTGCTGTCATGGTTGTGCCGTTGAGCAAGACACTTTACCCAAATTGCTCTGAATAGCATGCATCAAACGTCTCATATGTTGTTCATTGAGGAAATCACCAGGAGAGGCAAGGAGAACCCACCTTAAATTGACTTCTGTTTACGGGACATACATTCAGCCAACAAGTTGACATATTACCTAATCCAGATATAGATCATACCCTGAATGCTATAAACGATTTCAATAACTTTAACCACTTCCGTATGTGAGAATTGGTACTTAACAATTACAACTGATAATTAACTAACCATTTCAAAGGTGTTGAATGAAATGCCAGTAATGATGGTAAGTTGACCAACATCAGTCTACGTCTAGCGACTATGATAGGATCTGTAATAGAAAACTTACATATATAATAGAAGTTCTTATAAACACAACCCATAGAAGATTAAAGCGTGACTGCATGGTCACCTTCATCAGACAAATGACCAGTGTGAAGCGCACCAGCACTGACGTATATAAGGTGGTCGACTGCACTATAATCCTTTGTACAGTAAGGCCAACAATGATGTGATGAGATGGTAGATAGATTACAGACCAAAAATGACACAAGATGGTAGCATTTCACTGTAGTCAATTTGGCTAATAACACCCAAAGTGAACAACAAAAAGACCAAAAACAATTCATTAGCTCAGAGCGAAAACAATTTCAGTATTGGACAAATAAATTTGCACTTACAGATCATTCCTCACATTAGAATTGACTAGAAAAAATGCCAAAATATTTAAATGGGAAAACAACCTTTTCGGGAGTTGGTTAAAGAAGCCATATGGATATGCCACAAAAATGACAGATTCTGTTTCTCATCGTGCTGTTATGTTGGTGATTCTGACAAAAATACATGTGAAATTCATTGACATGTGGCAAAGCTAATGCACGAAACCAAGTGGCAAATCAGGAGTGAAATACTAAGATAAGTATGTATAGGTGTTATTGAACGACACTGAGAGTCAAACTCAGTCAAAATCCATTCACACGAAGCAAAATTATCTCATGAAAACAAAAGCAAGATAGGCAGACACCCCGGAATTATTACCCCTAATTATTCTGCGAAAAACGGGCTAAAAATTGATTATATATAAAAAGAGTGAAGTGCTCATTTACAATGCATCCGAACGGCGTGGAAGTAGTTCCTGAAGAATCGGAACCAGTCTCTTACAAGACTGTATGAGTGCTTGATAACACTTGATAGTTATGCTAATTTTGACATCTGGTTGCATATACCTCACAGAAAATTACTATCTGGGCATACATGACTGGCTTAAAGAAATACGCAGTGTATTTAAACCAACTTATTGTGTACAAGGGGATGTGAAAATGTTTTGGTCCTCCTACATTTTTTCATGTAAGATGGTGAAATGCACTACACATGATATATATATATATATATATATATATATATCCTAGTCATAGCTCTTAATCACATGTACGGTCATTATAATAACATTTTTGAGGGAAACATACTTCCAGTGAGATTGTAAAATGGACAAAACTGAGTATGAAATGATGAAAATGTTTCTGGTGTGTTGATCAATCTTCCAAATATAGGTTGAAGAACTCATTCATTTCCCTTCTACAACTATACATGGGTAAAGGTATTCTGGTAGGAACGGCAATTAGCCAGAGAGTGATAAGAGACTACCGTATTACTCTTCATGAACTAGAAGAAGCAACAGGGCTTTCATACAATGTATGGATCTATACACATGCTCAAAGTATGGCCAAGATGGGCCCAGAGAATGTGCACGTGATATGTAGCAATCCAGTGGAACAATGCTGATTTTCTTTTCGGGGTTGCAACTTTGACGAAACCTGATTTTATCATTATGACACGGAGGGTAAACAGGAATCATTAGAATAAAAGACCAAGTCCACCGAGAAGGTCATCGGGATATGTTAGGATGTCGAAGGAGTAATTCATATCGACTACCTATTTATGGAACCAAAACTAATGGGACGTATTACGCTTACCTATTGAAGCATGTGCACCAAACAATCTAGGAAAAACGAAGAGGAATAATCCGTCGAGGGATTCTGCTTTACCTGTTTAAACTGGTCTAATTGCAATTGAAGCTATGAGTGAGTGTGGCTATTAAAACAACAACGAAAATACCAACGTGTCAATGAAATCATAATCCAAAATCAATGTATAAGAAACTAGGACGAAGTATGAACAATCCAACGATTTACAAGGATTTACCAAATACAGCACAAGGAAAATGAGACTAAATGATCCGTAAGCATAACAGTATTCTGCTTCATCGACATAAGTTTCCATGTACGTGTTGGTCAATTTTATATCACGTTCCCAACTAAGAACACTACAAAAACAAGAAAACCAACAGGTATACAAATGAATATCAAACATGTAAAACTTCCCTGTTATTTTTATAAACCTAAAAAAAACTCTGTGTTGTAATTTTATCTGTCAGTTTCCTACCTATGTATATCAAGGTCCAACATTCTCGTTTATATTTGCTTATGAATATGGGGGAAAACTGTGCTCTTCTCGTTGGTTATTTGTCATTGTTTCATACGAGGCAAAATAGACTGTATATCGACGAGCTTATCAAAACGCGTTGCAATGTCATTGAATTTCACTTTCCTAAATATTGAGGTGATGCTTTGTCTTTAAATAACAAGAAACGCGTTTTGTATGTCAATTTTAAGCTTATATATCCACCGATATTGGACATATTATGCAAATGGAACACAAATGAGCAGCGTTTTTTTTAAAACGAATTCCGATTTAGAAACAGTAGAGACAAGCAATGAATTAAACAACATCATACAGCTATTTAGTCCTTCTTGGCATCGACAATGATGCTCAGGTCCTCAATTTGAAAGTCTAGGAGGTTACTACGAAAACTCTAAAGTTATCAAAAGAAAGGACGAGATTCTTCGACATCAGTCCCATACTCCGAAGCGTGTTTATTTCAGTTTTCCTGTTGTGGGGGAATTTCTTTCATCCCCAGCCTATGAGGTGTATATGTTGCAGTTAATTCTACAAAAATTAAGAGCTTCTTCCAAATATCACGATTTCTATGCCATATGTTGACAACTAAAAGACAATCTCAACGTTTTTAGAGATTCAGTTTGATTAAGATTATAGGGAAGATTAATTGTTTCCTCACTAAACAAGATACAGAACACCCATTGCATGTCATGCACAGCAAGTGTCTTACCGAATCACGTCGGATCTTCACCTGTTGATACGTAAGCCGGCGCTCTTACCGAGCAAGCTATCGTGGACCCAATTATTCATCTCAAAGCTTATAACATACTTATTTAGACTACAACTACAAAAAAATAACAGATTTTATCATTCCCATACTGCATAGCTTCTTTAAGTTGTTAATTTGTCCAGGTGCTCAACTCAAAAATGATGTACAGTTCATGAAAGCTATAACAAAAAATGGAGTTTGCTCTTTAAATTACATTTTTATGGTGTCTCCATTTGTATTTAACGCTTTTTTGTAAATCGATCCTTTAGAATAGCAAAGGATGATTAATAATAAAAATTAAACAGAACAAAAAAACTGAAACATTTGAATAGGAACAAAGTGAAGAGGTACGACTAAAGATGACGTGTTTCGTGGATTGATAATGGGATGGGTAACTTCGAGAACTAAACAACTTCCTGATTTTATACTGCCTGTATACCCTCCTGCCTGTATGCATGTGTGTAAATTGTTTACAGTAATCCATGCTGCTTGCAAAATACAGATAGTGTAAATGGTTTAACAACTTTCATCATTTTTATGTAAACTGCAAGGTATACCTCAACCTGTTTATTTCACTAGTTCATTCTGACAGCCGACCAATCAAGGAGCATCTATAAATGGAACAGTTATGCTCTGTAGAACAGCAATAGCAACGACAAAGGTGTGGCCGGAGAGTATAGAAAGCAGTTGAACTCGCCAAAATATTAAGTCTTCACTGAAGTCCAAGTCAAATACAAAATGCTTTTGAAGGTGGTGCTGATTCTCTTCAATTTTCATCTTACTTCTGCAACAGGTAAAATGCATTTAAGCAGGACAGATAATTAATTATAACAGCACTATCGCAATAACGCAATCTATTGTAAATAAGGAAGAGGTCTTTGTGTCATTTTTGCTTGTTTTCCAGATCCAGAATATCATGTGTTGGTGTTAGGAGAGTATGCTAACGAAGGCACTGTTGTACTTTTTAATGGTACAGAGTTATACCCACTCTGTTACGATGGCTGGGACGACGAAAATGCCGCCGTAGTTTGCAGGATGATTGGCTATACGAGGTAATGGAGACTTGTTGTTGAGCTTTGACCTGTAACTAAAAATTGATTGTATGTTTTATGTAGCAGAAGTCGTTATTTCTTATAATGGAAATCATATGTCATTAAAGTAAGGATTATTCTTACTTATGTTTAGCTCTATTAACTGGTAGACCAAAAGTGAGCATGCTTTATCTTCATTGACGGTGAGTTATTCCATGTGTATTATCAGTTCTTTGGTCTATGGAAAAAAACCTTAGATCTTGACTATTGTACGACATGTACGAGGAAAGTGGAGATTAGTTTGACCTATTTTATGACCCGGTATGTCCATGAGAAATATATGTTAGATCTGTTCATGAACATTTGTGTATAGTGACAATGAGGCTGGAAATGCAGCCCATAGAGCGGTTACTCACTTTATTGTAATACATATTTATTTGAATAAACATGGACGGCAGATCAGATGTGACTCGCATCAATATAACTTTATAAAGGTTTATGTAACTGAGCAGATACGACTCACCACACTGCAGTCAAATAAAGGTATGTTTATCCAGTATGACTTACCTCACTGTTACATGTTAAAGGTATGTGTAACAGATCAGATATGACTCACCTCCCTGAAACCTTATAAAGTTATAGATATTAGATCAAATAGGATTTCCTTTGCTGGCCTTATTCTCTTTAAGTGAAGATAGAGAGAAGGTGTCGGAGGACACCATTTTGAATGTGAAATATGAAGCTGGGAATTAGTGTTTGATTTCGTTAAGTTTTGATAATAACATATGTCCTTATTTTGGGGTTATACATTGGGTATCGTGATATCCCATTAAGTTCGAATTTTGTCCTAATTTCCATCCCAAAATGGGAATGAACAGAAAACAAGAGGCCCATGTGGCCTTAACGGACACCTGAGGAATATATGTCAATAATCTGGGGATTTTAAAATGTTGCAAACATGTAACAACACTTGTGCATGACCGTGTGTAAAACATCTGTAGCAAGTTTGAACATGATCCACTCAGTGGTTCTTGAGAGGAAGTCCAAAATGTCTTAGCCAAACAAAGGCCAGGGTTGCACATTTATATAAAGCAAATCATGTTTTCATTTACAAGTTGAAATATAGCTTATCAGACACATGTATAGATAAAGTATACAAAAAAATCAGATCAATTTCAAGTCTATCCACAATCTTTTCCTTACGTAATACAATAAGGCATCAAACTAAAAAAAATCACATAAAACAATGTGAAAAAATCTTGTGGTACTTCTGAGACAGGAATATATAGGTATCAAGGCTGAGAAATGTAGTGTTACCACAGGTATTGTACATGTAGCTCAGAACATAGAAGGTTCGGCGAGTAGTAAGATCCGGGTTTGATGAAAGATCTGGCTACACATTTTTTTCTCGCCTATATGGTTTTCATAAACCGGTTTTCATAAACACACAGCATGTCTTTATCAAAGATTAATATGTAACAAATATCAGAAGGGCTAATTTTGGACCAGTTATTTTTATTCTCACAAACTTTGCAGTCCTTTGCCTAAAGATCATCTATATAAAGTTACACTTTTGGTTCAGGACAACAAGATTTGCTAAGATTTAACAAATTCTACCCCTGTCTGCCCATTTAATATGTCCCCATTGAGGCCACACCTTTTTCTATTGTAAAGAAGCTTACTTTACCTAATTTTACTCCTTTCTTAACCCCCACCTAGGGCCCCTATTGCAGCCTTTACTTTTTTCCCCAAACTAAATGTGTCATATTACACAGATGCTTTGTGCTTAGTGTGGTTGTTTCCCAAAAACATGGTCAATGCCATTAGAACCCATTTTTAAAAAATGACCCCTTTTTGCCCCCCATGAGGCCCCAGAACCCCTCAGACACTTTTTTCAAATCAAAGTCACATGTTCTTCACTAGGTGACTATATACTAAATTTGGTTGAAATCCGTCAACTTTGAATTTTGACCCCTTTTTAGTGCCCCATGGAGGGCTTGTTGATGACCACACTTTTTTTCTAATTCGCAAACTTTGTAGACCTTGCTCTAAGAATCATTAATTTTGAATTTTAGGAAGATCTGACTGTTGGTTCATGCGAAGAAGATATTTAAAGATTTACCTATTTTTACCCCCTTTTCCCTTCATGGGTCCCCTATTGGGGCTACGCCCTTTTTCATCCCATTGGGATGCTTTGTGCCAAGTTTGGTCAAAATCCATTCACTGGTTCTTGAGAAGAAGTCATTTAAAGAAGTTTTTAACATATGGCCCATTTACACCCCCTTATGGGCCCCAAAGGGGACATAATCACACAACATAATTTCATATGGTCTTCACTAAGGGATGCTTTCTACCTTCGGCTCAGGTGACCTAAAAATATATGTAAATTCACTCTTTTACTAATCTTTCAATCTGTTTGTGGTATTCTGGTGAAAGTGACCATTTCTTTCCAAGATCATTGTTTAAATGCTGAAAAAAGCGAGATTCGCCTGTTAAACTTTTCTCTGGACCGATGTAACGAAAGTCGATAAAATATCCAATAAATTGGAACTTATTCCACTTTAGGCATGATGTATCAGTAGTAGATTATCGGTATGCTTGGTGTCTAGTTATAACTATTATTTGCCGCTACTACTGTTAATTGAATGTCCTTGGGATACATGGGACAAGGAAATGCGCTCTCTTTAGCACCTTTCAAATATTTTATAATGAGTTACGTACTTCTGATGTACTTTCACATAAATCTTTCCCTTAATAAATCCGGGTAGGTTTACTTACATTTTACAGAGTTCTGCTAGACAGAATTTCATAAATACTGAGTAGTTTTATATGAATTTGGTTATGTTTCTGCCGGTCGTTATTGGACAATAGTTTTTAAATCCGGATAGTTTGAGTGCATTTCTTTTCCCTTCAGTGACGGAGCCATTGCTGTCCAAAGCAACGCAACTTTTGGCATGACATCATATCAATATGACTGTAATGGAAACGAACAGTTGCTTCAGAACTGCCCAGTCAATGTCACAGAGTGTTCAATGCATGGAGGGGTGGTCTGCTCCAAAGGTATGTAAAACGTTTACCTATGCGTTTAAGCCTTACAAAGACGCATCCTTAGATATCGATGCTTCATTTGCTATTTAAAAAGACATTGTATTCCGCGTGACAGAAAAACACCTTTTAACTGGTGATGCTTATATATGACTTGATGTTTAAATGAAATTTCAATCAATGTCTGAATTCCCTTCATTTGAACAATCGGGTGATATTCCTATATTTCCATATAAGCTATATGGTGAGTATCTTGTTGCTAATTCCTTACGTGTGATTAACTCTTATTTTTTGTTTGTATGTTTAGACCCCATACCAACTGATTTCTTCCTCCTTGCCATGGGAAGTTCCATCGTCCGAGTGGATCGTTTTCACGAGGGCCTTACTGTAATCAAGTTTGACACGTCACGCTACTTTTTTGACATCGGTTATGATTTCATCGAACAAGAGATCTTATGGACGGACGCATTACTGAAGCAGATAGCAAAATGTGATTTTAATGGAGGGGAGATAACCATTATATATCAATCGGGAAACGGTAATCTAATCTTGTCTGTTTTTAATCAAGCGTATGCAATAACCATATTGAAGCTTTTTTTCTTTTTATCAAAAATGTAGTAATTAATTCCCTTTATTTTACAAATGAATTTGAAAATAAAACAGTTAAAAATAATTTTGTTTTTATATACAAATGGCTTTATCTTGTATGGCCTGCAACAGCTTCCGCAATGCACGGCATCGCAGTCGACAGTGACTCTCGCCTGATATTCTATACTGATGCCGGATATCATGAAATTGGTGTCGTACATGCAGACACATTGACAAGAACTGTACTAATTAATTCGTCATTAGATAAACCCGGAAATTAATTCCCTTTATTTTACAAATGAATTTGAAAATAAAACAGTTAAAAATAATTTTGTTTTTATATACAAGTGGCTTTATCTTGTATGGCCTGCAACAGCTTCCGCAATGCACGGCATCGCAGTCGACAGTGACTCTCGCCTGATATTCTATACTGATGCCGGATATCATGAAATTGGTGTCGTACATGCAGACACATTGACAAGAACTGTACTAATTAATTCGTCATTAGATAAACCCGGAAAGATAATCATCGACTACAATACCAGGTAAAGATATCCTTTATCTTATACTACAATACCAGATAAAAATATCCATTATCTTACACTACAATACCGGGTAAAAATATCCATTACCTTACACTACAATACCAGATAAAAATATCCATTATCTTACACTACAATACCGGGTAGAAATATCCATTATCTTACACTACAATACCAGATAAAAATATCCATTATCTTACACTACAATACCGGGTAGAAATATCCATTATCTTATCTTACACTACAATACCAGATACAAATAGCCATTATCTTACACTACAATACCGGGTAAAAATATCCATCATCTTACACTACAATACCAGATACAAATATCCATTATCTTACACTACAATACCGGGTAAAAATATCCATTATCTTCGGTTTCAATTCGTAGTAGCAGGTAAATATATTCTTCATAATCTCTTAAAGCATATCCGATAAATATACACTATATGAAGAATATATTTACACTCAAAATATATGTTAAATGATAATTTTTTTGATAGAACAATTCTTACTGAAAAAAGAAACATAAATGTATCACCTGCTAACATGTAGCACTGTTGTGAACGTGAATCTCTTTGGCCACTGTGAAATCTATTAATAAACATAAGATATTTTTCCTGAAATGGTCACATGGTTCTTTATCAGTTTTCTTATTAAATAATTTCTGTTTTAATCAATTTCCGTAAATAGCAAGATAGCGAACACGTCAATTGTAACGAACTAATTAATAATATAAAGTATTGTTTATGTAATCGTTAATATATTGATACAAACTTTTCCAGTCTCTGTTGATTTGTTTTTGGAAAAGAAAAGGAGAACCAAGACATAATGATTGTTATGGTGTTAATGAACAGTGAGATATTGATTGGTTTTTATGATAACGAACAGTAGGATAATGATTGTTATAGTGTTGATGGACAGTGAGATTTTGATTGTTTTTATGATAACGAACAGTTAGATAATGATTGTTATGGTGTTGATGAACAGTGAGATTTTGATTATTTGTGTTGATAACCGTGAGATATTGATTGGTTTTGAGTTGATGAACAGTGAGATTTTGATTATTTGTGTTGATAACCGTGAGATATTGATTGGTTTTGAGTTGATGAACAGTGAGGTAATAATTGTTTTTTCGGTTGGCGAACCGGTTTTAAGTTTTTAACAAGAAGATATGTATGGGATCTAATATAAGTTTTCGTTTCATATAAGATTTTACGACATGTGTCTTTTTGTGCCAGTCTATTAATTGTTTTGTGTCGGTTAACAGAAAGATTTATTGGGCAGACTGGGGAGAGAACGCAATGATTGAACGTTCAAATTATGACGGATCTGACAGAGAGGTGCTCGTCAGCGCAGGGCTTATCAACCCAAATGGCCTAGTATTGGATGGTAACTTTTAAAACAAATCTTCTTTATATATTAAGATCTATATCTTCGATCTTGATCTTTCAACTTTTCATGAAGCCTGGATTATCTTGCCTCTATACCTTTATGTAGGATAAAGGGTGTGTGATAGTTTAAACATTTGTGGTAATGTATTGAACCTCTGTGCGTTCTAAAATATTTATTTTTTCCAAGAGACGGTATTGTAATCAACATGACAAAGTAGCCAAAACTGGGAAGTGATTTTAAACCATTTTTATCAAAGTTATTACCTATCTAAAAACACAAAATCCTCGACAGAATATTTTATATCTAAATACAATCGACTAACTAACAAACCCTGTGGTTTTCATTGCCATACACTGTGTATAATGTGTCGTATCTGTGTTGTACCAAAAGAGACAAGTGCAAGATCTGTCTACATTTAACCATATCTCGCGCTAGCCCAAAATCATTGGACACTGGCATTCTTTCAGTTATCATTATTCAACGTTTAGAAAGACACAAAAAGATTAATATATTTTCCAAATTTAATTATTGGTGATGATTTATCAGCTTAAAAGAACTTGTTTAAAGATACAAGCATCTTCTTTCAGAAAACAATATATATTTCATGAGTTACTATGATAATTGTATATTCAACATCTATTACACTTGATAGCATTTCGATTTGTTTAAAGGCGACCTGTTGTATTGGTGTGATGCTGACTATGGCGTAATAGAAAGAATATTCAGGAACGGAACAGGAAGAACTGTCATTTATACCACAGGATTTGCCCACTGCTTTGATTTTGTTCTAGTTGACGACTATTTCTATTGCAATGATTTGAACTTAACGTAAGTAGCTTATCAAGTACCGTGATGTTGACATATAAGCTAGTTTCTAAGCAACGTCGACCAAACTCATGCAACCTTACCAATTCCTTCGACTTACAGAATTGTCAATGTGGTATAAACAATGAAACAATATTGTCTTTAACATATAAAAGTAGAAATAACATTAAAGAAAAAAAGTGTGAAATAATTTTCAGATCTTTATCGTACAAAGTAATATCTAATCTGACTGGTTGGCTTGTTTTGTTATTTAAACAGTAATAGTAATATCATCAAACTTGCAAAAGACGGAAGTGGATATTCTGCATATGGCCCACCTTTACCCACACGATATGGCATTGTTTATTATCGAAAAGGTAATTTGACTAAATAATTTGCACGCTTGTGATTTTCAAATTTAAAAAATATCGGGTTTAACTGTAAGTAATTATATAACGGACTAAATGTTGCTTTGATTATATGTGCTTAATTCAAGAACATGGCATTGTCATTATTTTATAGGATGTTGTTACTGTTTATGTTTGATTGTTTGCTTGTTTTACATTACATTAACTGGTTTCATTTTAAGTATTCGCTGACTTTTATGTTTATGAAAAGGCAGTATTTTAATATTTTTAAATGAGACTGCATGATATTTATACATATCACATGTATATACACACATCTAAAACGATTGTTGTTGATTCCTAAAAAGTATCTTTTGCTTGTGAAATTTACTGAACATAAACTATATACGTTAGCTCGCCGATGACCACCGGAATATTGGTAAGTATGATATTCATTTTACGTCCGCAAAAATATATATTTATATACTGATTTCAACTAACGGTAAGTAACCTTTTTACATCTCTATCAAGTATGTCGATAATTGAAACAATGGCTAATTCTATACAATAAAATGATTTCCCGAGATATTTTCATGTTGGTGGATATATGTATAAATTACCTTTACCACTGATACCTACGCGGCAGTAGTAACAACATTTCATTGTACCCATGTCAAGCGTGAACTACCCTATGTGGAAGATGAGAGTACTAGGCGGTCGAACGATACTTAATTGGCTTTTAATAACCTTTTATCATATCGTGAAGTAATTTTACCTGGCATCAGAAACGACAATGGTTATTCCATTTATATGATTATATGTACAGTTCGAGGATGGCTATGTCATAGAGCCTCGACAAAGATAAATAAGTATAGGGGAACACGTATGGAGTGATGTTACTACTGACGTTACTGGCTCTCGTTACACCCGGAGAGCATGGCAACGTAATGATGAAAGTAATAAAGCATTGTTATATGTTATTTTCCACTTTCAGCTGTTACTTCTTGTTCTCCATCCTAACAATCATTTCACATATTAAATCTATATCATTTCTGTGATAAGAATTGTATGTTTCCAAATCCTTTATTTGATGTGTGAATATTTACAAAGAAATATAGTAACCGATCTTTGTTATCACATCTTTATTTTGTTAACATTGTAATAAATCGACTTAAATTGTGTTCAAGTATTGAAGTATAGCATAATAGTTGTTCATCGTGATAGAATCGATAGTAACAGTTACTATGTTACTGCGAAACATTATTTAAGCCAGAGATTACATAATATGCACATATTCCCATATAATTCTATTCCAGTTTAGGATCCTCGGGATACTGAGAAAACCGATCACATGAACATGGAGTGGAGTGGAACAAGGTAAATATCGACTAGCAAAAAACACAAAATTATAAAAGAGACCAAAATGGCGTAGGTATACAACCCTCGGTCAGGATACCTCAGTGAGACAATTTAAATAGTATTCAATCAGATATTACTTTGGACAAACATCATGACTAAAAGTTTCTTCTTGACGATCATTGAGAAGTGATTTCAATATTTGAACACAGATTTTGGTAACTTGAAAGGGCTTTCAAGATCATCCTGGTTTGGAATACGTCAAATTGTATTACCTCGGACCATAGGTGTTTACAAGAAAACGTTGTAACACAGCCAATAGGGGCTGTTATATGCTACCTATTGTACATTTTACCAAAAAGGCTGTGATAACTTACACACGACAATGGTCTATTGGTTCGTGTGATGCCATTGGCGTATTAAGTGGGATCTTACAATGTCAAGGTACATGTAATGCAATGAAGTTTTGCTAAATAATTTGTTTTGTTTCCTATGTGTTGTAGCTATGTTGCATGTAATGCAGTGAATCTTTGTTATCTTTTCCCCTGTGCGTGTGTTGTAGATTTGTTACAAGTAATAGAACGAATGTTTGTTATTTTTTGTTTCCTGTGTGTTGTAGATTTGTTACATGTTTCCCGAGTACCTTGGCCCCACGTATGACTTGGTTTTGCCGAATATATTTGAAAATGCTGGATCCTGTGATTGCAGTATTTTATCAAAAATTTGAATTAAAAGCTATAACTACTTTTTCGTCTGACTTAAAAGTGAGTTTTGTGTTGACAGTCACTTTAAGATACCAACCACACGTAACGCATATTGTACCTGGATTTACGAGGATGATTACACCAGACACTGCAAATATGGCATTATCATAGTGATAATACCAGGTAAGGGGACTTACCCACAGTGAAATTAACAACTTGAATCGGAATTGCTTACAACTGATTAAAATTCTTTATACCATTAATCCTGTAAAGGAGCGGATAAACAAAGATATAATTTAGCAACAGCAGTTATCAATAAACCTTTGGAAACTTTGAAGATCGCCGATAAAGCAAGTGTCATAAAGTAGGCATTTAACTGTGTAAAAAAAATGGGTGGTTTTTTTCAAGAAAAGGTCCAGTCTTCTCTGACGAGTAATACGAATGTGGGACATATGATTTCATCAGTTACTGGTTTACGAAAAATATGGGGAAGTTTTTCGAATGTCATAGTTTCTATTATGATATGAAGCTGGACGTATTCGATATTCGTTAGTATGCCTCTCGGTTCCTTTATTTATACTTTGTTTTCATTAAAGAATGTGACATTACTTACTTGGATTGATAAATATTTACTTGGCTAGTGACATCGATGAAGCAGAGGACGCTTACTCTTCCTGATCACCTAGTCTTATACTCCATGTGAATCTTTACTTTTGTTTACATTTTTATTGAATTTGAGTTTGGATCATTATCATGTTCACATGTTGGTATTTTCTTGTTGCGTATGTAGTGAAATCATAACAAAGCACCTTTGAACAATACACTGATAACATATGGGCATACAGTTGATATGAAGCAAATCCGGGTGGAAATTGAATATTCATGGTGCCGATCTTCCATCCGTCTTGGCTTGATATCAACTGTAAACTCCGTTTGATAACAGTTTATTATTTATATTTCTGTTCTCTAATATCTACAAAAACAAAAACAAAACAAAATTCAGAAATATCCCGTTTAAAGTCCCCGCTTAATCAAATACTAACGTCAGCAAGTCCGAGAATGAATAGCTATTGTATTGAAAAGTAGGGACAATTTAACTTGATTATTGATTTGAAAGTGTAAAGGCTCACATTTCTTTTAAGAATTATATTATTTTGCAATGTATTTTTTGTTCGTTTGAAATCAAATTGTGCATTGCTATTCCATTAAAAAGTGATGCAGCTCTGAGTTTCTTTGGAAATTGTTTACATTTTCGTGTCTTGGAGTTAATCGATGTGATTTTCAGAATAGAATAAGTACGGAGATTATAAATAGAAGTCGACACAGTCAATTACGGTAGTTTGTTGATAAAGGATTCTACCTTTGTAATTTGGACTCTCAGCTCGACGTCTACTGTAGCAGACAAAGTTGACAAGCTTGGTGATAAAGTATGTGATGGCAATTATAAAGATTTTGACTGACAATAGATTTGCTCTGATATAATTTGATAGTTTTGTAAAGTTATTTATTCTTTGTGAAGGTCTTCAGTCCACCAACTTCGGACATGTCAGTATATTGTATATTTATACCAAAGTGAAAGTCACTGACTGCCAGTTTTGTTTCCATAAGATACCTCGAGATTTATTAATTCACCCATCGGCCGAATCACTGTATGTTATAATATACGATCTTATATACTATAATTTAGCGTAGTGATGATATATAGGTGAATGCAACACAGCGTGTAAATAGTCTATTTATATCTATTTATATCTAGCAGGATTCCTTTTTGATGGACGTCTCACCTTGACCACCGAATATGTATCTTTGCGCTAGACCAGATGGCAGTTCATTGTGTGATATAATCCTATCTGATTTACATAGAACAAAACGGGAAACAGGTGGTAGAATGGAAATATTGAGTAATAACTACAAACAGAACCTGACATAAGTCTGACCATCTCATCTGTTTCCGTGTTGAACTTAAAACTTGTTTTTGAATCACATTATAGCTGAATCGATGGTGCTTTCTCATGACGGAAATAAACAATTCACTGTCCATTTTTATACCTTCAAACTTTTATTTTTACATTAAATTTGAACTTATTGATCCAGTCGATCGTAGACAGAACACGCTCACAATCCAAACCCCTCTTTTGTAGACCAAGGACACAAAAATAAGTGATCAATCAATTCTAATTAGTGTGCATACCATTTGAGGACTAAGTAACATGTATCACTGTATCACGGATTGGTATTTCTCTATCCCCCTCCAATGGGTGAAGGATTGATTTATTCCGTGTTTTGCTGGGGAGAAATTCCCTTGTCATTCCCTAGGGCGAGACGGGGCATTACCCTGTTACGACAATGGTTTGACGTCACAACAACTATTGTTCATAAATTGAAGCCACATAAAAAAGAACATGCATTGAGATAAAAACATTACATATCTACCCCCGTGATGGTGAGGTAGGGTGATCTTAACCATCGTGGAAATGTTATTAAGTTGTCAATCACGCGGTAAGACTCGTGTTTGCCAACTAAAAAAAATTTCCCTTCGGGTTAAGATGATCACCAATGTGTTGAAAGATTCTCTGTTTAAATAAACAAGAAGTGGATATCATGAGATCAATCACAGTCTATATATTGTGTATAATGAGGTTATGTTATACAGTGGAAATGTGAAATGTAACAATGATAGGATCTGTTGTTAGGGGGGGGGGGTAAAGACACTTCTGTGGAAATGTGAAATGTAACAATGATAGGGTATATTGTGAGGGGGTAAAGACACTTCTGTGGAAATGTGAAATGTAACAATGATAGGGGGGGTAAAGACACTTCTGTGGAAATGTGAAATGTAACAATGATAGGGTATATTGTGAGGGGGGTAAAGACACTTCTGTGGAAATGTGAAATGTAACAATGATAGGGTATATTGTGAGGGGGGTAAAGACACTTCTGTGGAAATGTGAAATGTAACAATGATAGGATCTGTTGTTAGGGGGGGGGGGGTAAAGACACTTCTGTGGAAATGTGAAATGTAACAATGATAGGGTATATTGTGAGGGGGGTAAAGACACTTCTGTGGAAATGTGAAATGTAACAATGATAGGATCTGTTGTTAGGGGGGGGGGGGGTAAAGACACTTCTGTGGAAATGTGAAATGTAACAATGATAAAGACACTTCTGTGGAAATGTGAAATGTAACAATGATAGGATATATTGTTAGGGGGGGGGGGGGTAAAGTAAAGACACTTCTGTGGAAATGTGAAATGTAACAATGATAGGGTATATTGTGAGTGGGGGGTATATTGTTAAAGACACTTCTGTGGAAATGGAAATGGATAGGGTAAGACACTTCTGTGGAAATGTGAAATGTAACAATGATAGGGTATATTGTGTGAAATGTAACAATGATAGGGTATATTGTGAGGGGGGTAAAGACACTTCTGTGGAAATGTGAAATGTAACAATGATAGGGTATATTGTGAGGGGGGTAAAGACACTTCTGTGGAAATGTGAAATGTAACAATGATAGGGTATATTGTTAGGAGGGTAAAGACACTTCTGTGGAAATGTGAAATGTAACAATGATAGGGTATATTGTGAGGGGGTAAAGACACTTCTGTGGAAATGTGAAATGTAACAATGATAGGGTATATTGTGAGGGGGGTAAAGACACTTCTGTGGAAATGTGAAATGTAACAATGATAGGGTATATTGTTAGGGGGGGGTGGAAATGTGAAATGACACTTCTGTGGAAATGTGAAATGTAACAATGATAGGGTATATTGTTGTTCTGTGGAAATGTGAAATGTAACAATGATAGGGTATATTGTGAGGGGGTAAAGACACTTCTGTGGAAATGTGAAATGTAACAATGATAGGGTATATTGTGAGGGGGGTAAAGACACTTCTGTGGAAATGTGAAATGTAACAATGATAGGGTATATTGTTAGGGAAATGGGGGGGTAAAGGGGGGGGGGGGGTAAGACACTTCTGTGGAAATGTGAAATGTAACAATGATAGGGTATATTGTTAGGAGGGTAAAGACACTTCTGTGGAAATGTGAAATGTAACAATGATAGGATCTGTTGTTAGGGGGGGGGGGGGGGGGTAAAGACACTTCTGTGGAAATGTGAAATGTAACAATGATAGGGTATATTGTTAGGAGGGTAAAGACACTTCTGTGGAAATGTGAAATGTAACAATGATAGGGTATATTGTTAGGAGGGTAAAGACACTTCTGTGGAAATGTGAAATGTAACAATGATAGGGTATATTGTTAGGAGGGTAAAGACACTTCTGTGGAAATGTGAAATGTAACAATGATAGGGTATATTGTTAGGGGGGGGGGGTAACAATGATAGGGTATATTGTGGGGGGGGTAAGACACTTCTGTGGAAATGTGAAATGTAACAATGATAGGGTATATTGTTAGGGGGGGGGGACACTTCTGTGGAAATGTGAAATGTAACAATAAAGACACTTCTGTGGAAATGTGAAATGTAACAATGATAGGATCTGTTGTTAGGGGGGGGTGGTAAAGACACTTCTGTGGAAATGTGAAATGTAACAATGATAGGGTATATTGTTAGGAGGGTAAAGACACTTCTGTGGAAATGTGAAATGTAACAATGATAGGATCTGTTGTTAGGGGGGGGGGTAAAGACACTTCTGTGTGGAAATGTGAAATGTAACAATGATAGGGTATATTGTTAGGGGGGTAAAGACACTTCTGTGGAAATGTGAAATGTAACAATGATAGGGTATATTGTTAGGAGGGTAAAGACACTTCTGTGGAAATGTGAAATGTAACAATGATAGGGTATATTGTTAGGAGGGTAAAGACACTTCTGTGGAAATGTGAAATGTAACAATGATAGGGTATATTGTTAGGAGGGTAAAGACACTTCTGTGGAAATGTGAAATGTAACAATGATAGGATCTGTTGTTAGGGGGGGGGGTAAAGACACTTCTGTGGAAATGTGAAATGTAACAATGATAGGATATATTGTTAGGAAGGTAAAGACACTTCTGTGGAAATGTGAAATGTAACAATGATAGGATCTATTGTTAGAAAAGTAAAGACACTTCTGTGGAAATGTGAAATGTAACAATGATAGGGTATATTGTGAGGGGGGTAAAGACACTTCTGTGGAAATGTGAAATGTAACAATGATAGGGTATATTGTTAGGAGGGTAAAGACACTTCTGTGGAAATGTGAAATGTAACAATGATAGGATCTGTTGTTAGGGGGGGGGGGGGGGGTAAAAACAATTCTGTGGAAAAGTGAAATTTAACAATGATAGGGTATATTGTGAGGGGGTAGACACACTTCTGTGGAAATGTGAAATGTAACAATGTTAGGTTATTTTGTGAGGTGTTAAAGACACTTCTGTGGAAATGTGAAATGTAACAATGATAGGGTATATTGTGAGGGGGGTAAAGACACTTCTGTGGAAATGTGAAATGTAACAATGATAGGGTATATCGTGACATGTTCAATAAGCTACGTATACCATGAACCTTCCATGTCGTGACATGTTCAATAAGCTACGTATACCATGAACCTTCCATGTCGTGACATGTTCAATAAGCTACGTATACCATGAACCTTCCATGTCGTGACATGTTCAATAAGCTAAGCTACGTATACCATGAACCTTCCATGTCGTGACATGTTCAATAAGCTACGTATACCATGAACCTTCCATGTCGTGACATGTTCAATAAGCTACGTATACCATGAACCTTCCATGTCGTGACATGTTCAATAAGCTACGTATACCATGAACCTTCCATGTCGTGACATGTTCAATAAGCTACGTATACCATGAACCTTCCATGTCGTGACATGTTCAATAAGCTACGTATACCATGAACCTTCCATGTCGTGACATGTTCAATAAGCTACGTATACCATGAACCTTCCATGTCGTGACATGTTCAATAAGCTACGTATACCATGAACCTTCCATGTCGTGACATGTTCAATAAGCTACGTATACCATGAACCTTCCATGTCGTGACATGTTCAATAAGCTACGTATACCATGAACCTTCCATGTCGTGACATGTTCAATAAGCTACGTATACCATGAACCTTCCATGTCGTGACATGTTCAATAAGCTACGTATACCATGAACCTTCCATGTCGTGACATGTTCAATAAGCTACGTATACCATGAACTTTCCATGTCGTGACATGTTCAATAAGCTACGTATACCATGGGCCTTCCATGTCGTGGCATATTCATAAAGAATACATGGCTGGTTTCTTAAAACATAAGTCGTGTTTTGACTCCACTTTGTCTTTCTTCACCCTCGCCAATATACGACTTAAGACACTGACCATGTATTATATTTATCCTGAAACATTAATTGAAAATCATACTATTTAAATATATTCAAAATCGCTTATTTCAACAACAATATATACCTAAACGTGATATTTAAGTTAATTCATAAAGTAATTCTGTCGAATTACCACACGTGCTAAAATACAGCGGTTTTCCGTCAATGCCGAATACTGCAGAAATATACGTGGCAGGTGTATTCCGACAATGGCAGTGTCAGTTGCAGGATAAAGATAGTTACATATACCATGAGCCTTCCATGCCGTGACATGTTCATCGAGTCGGAGAACAGTAGCAAATTGAAAGTTTCCAAGTGATATCATTCTCATAATATACTGACAATATCGTTAAACATACATTTATACACAATGCGTTTGTCATGATCCGACTCACAATACTGGGATAGCACATAGAATGTTCCCCATGAAATGGAGAGACATCACGTGTCAGCATTTCATTTTGTGAAATAGTGGGAGCAAAAGGCACACATGTATTATACACGTGCATAAATCATAGAACTCTAATAACAGCCCAATAAACACTTCTATTAGATATCACATTTTTAAGAATAAATACTTAAACAGTTTTCTCGACATGGAAACAGAAAAGGCGTTTGTATATATAAGTCGAAATGATAAATGTTAATGGTATATGTATATCAATAACGATTATGTCCGTCCATGTAAAAGGAATGTGTACAAGTAGTATAATACATATCACGTGACCATGGTACAAAGGCACACATTGGTACTTCATATTGTGAAATATTCCATCAATAAAAGTTCCTTGGTATAACCATTAGAACTAAGCCCAGCTGCTGCCATAGCCACCTTCGTTAGATTGTGTTTCATCCTCAAGACAACCACAACAAGACGTAAATACCGATTTTTTCTTTTTCTTAACCGGGGCTTTATACCCGGACACATCCCAATGATAGATATGTACTTCAGCAAACTTCGTACCACGAAAACTCACGAAAAGTTTATCTTTAACACAGAGAACATTGATCGGTTTTACGTCTACACCCAATTTGTAGGTATTGGCAACAGGAGTCGCCAAGTACCGGCCTTCCCGCGAGAACATTTGCACGCGGAAATTGTTCGCATCGGCAACATAGATATTGTCGTTTCTGTCCGTACACACACCCATAGGGTAAAACAGTTCGCCTTCTTTGGACCCTTGTGTCCCAAAACTATGGATTATTGTTCCGTCGTTTTTATGGACTTTGATTCTATGATTTCCGCTATCCGATACGATGATATCGTCCCGCCCATTTACTGTCACATAATAGGGAAGCAGGAAATGGTTTGGTCCTTTTCCGCGAGAGCCAAATTTGATCGAAGGTCGTTTCCTATCCGTAAAAACGTTGATCGTATTAAATTGTAAACTGGTTATAAGTACTTTTCCTGTTCTTGCCACTTTAACTCCGAATGGGTTTTCGTACTTGTGGTAAGACCCATAGGATGCCATCAGTCTACCGTCAAACCCATACTCTCGAAGTATGGCAGAGCCTGCCCTGCTAACCGACGCAAGTATGGAACCAGATCTCGTGACAGATATGTCTCGTATAGAGCAGTCGCAGACAAATCCGCCACGATAATCGCCGCAGAAGGAATACACAAGAACCTTGTTCAAACTGCAGTCTGCTACGAGTATATCGTCTGTAAGAGTTGACAACGCCAGTCCCGAAATCTGAACAAACTGTTCAGCTTCCATTCCAAAACTTCCGAAACTTCTCACGAATTCAGCCTGACGCTTCTTACCGTATGACACATGATGATTCGAAGCGCCCAAGAGAGGTTCCTTCGCGGAGTTTGGTGTATCCACCGTGAAGTTACCTTCTGTGACCTCGGTTGATTCAACGAAACGTTTGAGCTCCCCGTCTTCCTCCACTGTGTCCCGAAGACTCTTGATGAAATGGTTATCTGGGAAGTCAACTACGCCATTGTAAGGGGTGTAGATCACCTGCAAAGCACGTATTCGAACATGATCTGTCGCACGATTACTACATGTCTCTATCATAGCTTAATACGGTCAGTAAAGTGGAAGGTGAAATCTGAAAACAATTTACCAACTTGCATTTTCATGGCTTTTCAAAATCTGATATTCGTTTAATTGGAAAAAATGCCAGTCTATATCATCATTTAAATGGTAAACAAGAAAATGGCAACTGAATATCACAGTACGGTAGAGTTGTAACACCAGTTCACGCTGAAGCAGTGTTATTACACCACATGATGTGTTATCTCTGTTTTGTATATTATGAACACCTTTTGATATTGTGCAGCAGGTTGTATTACATTTAAAAGTTGAAAGGTGACGGCGTCATAGTTAATTGCTCGTGGCAAAGATATATAATGGCTTTATTAGTATGGGCTTAAGGCAAAATTAGAATATTCACTTAGTTACACGTGTCTACTCTCTACAAGTTTCTATAAATTCTAAAACTGTTGGAAATAAATTAATATATGATTGTTACCAGTGTACATATAATACAATTAAGGAACTTCAGTGCTAAGGCAATCATGATATTTATCCTTGTCTTGCAAACATATTTTCATATCGCTAAAAATTCGTATCAATACTAGCAGGGACGTATAATACAGATCTGTATTATACGTCCCTGATATTAGAAAACTTACGTAATGCATTAATTTACTGTCCAATAACTTTATAAATTAATTAAGTGGTGTTAAAAGTAAATATTCTTTAAAAACACATGTACTTACAATGTATATAGTACATATCATACGTCACTGAAAAACATTATCATTTTTTTTTTTTTTTTGTAGAAAACATATCTTTGTGTTTCTGTGATTCATGGATAAAATTCCATATGTCAGGCTTCGATACTGATAATGATACTGGCTGAATTTCCTTCCGGTCATGAATTGCACAAAACCTCATTTTCTATACCCAAATAAAACAATAAGGTTTTCTTTTCTCATTCTTTTCCATGGATTAGCACAGATTTAAAATGTCCTCAGTTTTCCACAATTTTGTCTTAATTGTACGACATTTTCATCTGTTATATTAAGTTTTATCCATATTTAATATACATCTTATGTAATATTTAAGATATGAAATAATGTTTGACATTACCAGTGATAAAAATTGATTTTTACCTGTCTGCATACCGGACATGGGAACTGTCCTGTGTTTTCATATCGACTAACAATATAATCCCGCAGACAGCCCTCACAGAATGTGTGAAGGCATGGTAAGGCTTTCGGTTTAACGAACGTTTGAAAACATATAGCACACGTTAGAAAGCTATCCTGAATCTCTCGGGCTACCCTGATGCTAGCCATGTCTCGTTCCCTGTCAGTGTATAAACATCATGAACGTCATTGCCACATGATTCCGTTTCAAGTCACATGATTTGCTCTCTCGGACTTTTTCTTCACTATACGATATGTCGATAAATTCAAAGGAAACTCGAATGTATGTGACAGCAGAACGAATTTACCGTCAATTATTGTTCCATCCACAGCCAACCCTTTCCCGTCATTTATGCATGATTGTATTTGTTTCTCTGTCGGAATGATATTTCGAGAAAAAATCTCAAAAAATTTTCCTGTGCATTCTTAGAACCTAAATCAATATTTTATGAAAAAAAGAAACAAAGGAGGAAAAAACGAACACAACGTCATTCCCGGGAAATCGGGTTAAAATTTAGTATAATTCAAGTATTTCCTGTCTGAAAACGTGGTTTTTCCCGAGGTAATTTTGGGAGGTTATTGATTTCATGAGTTTCATTGCAAGGTAAATCAAATTTTCTGATGTATTGTAGTCTATTTTTTAGATTTATTTCAAAAGATACGACATACACACAGAGATGTGAATGCAAGATGTAATGTTAAGTTTACAAATTTAAAACAGACGGCTTACCGGTTGGGGTCAATGTTAACCCTAACATGAGATTCATCCTTAAGACTCATTTATATCGGATGTTTGACAATGTCTTTCCGACGAGGGACTTTATAAAACATCCGATATAAATAAGTCCCAATGCAAGGAGAAATTCCAAAAGTGATTATGCTCGACCCTCATGCATTTGAGGGATAGATACCGCTTTGAATTTGCAAATGTCATTGGTGAGCATGAATTTTCATGTGTTCTGATAAGCAATGGAGGCGATAATTGTTTGGGATTTAAAAAAAAACAAGATAACTAAATTCACATTTTTTTGTTGTAATTGTACAATATTGCATTAGTTATTGGGTCATATAAAAATCTGACACTGTTTTATGTTGCAAAGTTTAAATGAACTTTGTGTTTCTATTTGAAATGATCCTGCATTTGAGTAACTAATGGATTAGTCAAAGCAGTAAATATTCCTCAAATGCTGGACTATTACCCATATTAGGGGTTGTGCCCAACCTGGGTAATGCAACATTCATACAGTATGCTTCAATATAGTAACTGATAATTGTTGGTGTAAGAATTTTGAAAGCATTGCACAAATCCTGGAGGTGTTTTTTCAATGTCCATTACCATTTCTGTTTATTAAAAGTCACTGCATTTTACCTTTTTCAGTGTAATTTTATTTTTTACAATAAACAGGATGGCTTCTGCATCAGTTTTGAGGAGACTAACACAACGAGCTGATGAAGCAGAGAAAATAATCACTGAATTGAAAGCCACCATAGAACTTTTGAAAGATAAGGCTGGTAAGTTAACTAAAGACATCATGCAATGCTTTGAAGGCTGTGATCACATTTATTAATTATATTGGCTACCTCACTGAACAAGGTGTGGGAAGCCTGTCACATTGCATCTAGAACAATGAAGGTAAAGTGCCTAAGACAGTGATCTCAGCTTAATGATGACAAAAACTGCCCCAAATTGAGATTGAACCTGCAAACCTCGGTATCTCAACAAAGGGTGAATTATTTGATGCACATTCACTACCGACAATATGTGGATACAATATATTTTATTCAAATTTCTCAACATATCAAAGTGTTAGCCAGGTCTCAAATTCTATCACTAACTCTTCTAACTTACGTGTTTATGAATCAAGTCTATCGATGTATCAAACTTTTTCTACATGCCATTAGCTATAATAACACAGTCATTGGCACCTCATAATTTGAAGATAAAATTTACCTGTGCTGTACAAGTACTTTGGTTCCTGCAACAGAATTTTAAACATTTCCACAAAGGTGTTACCTGACAAAGGCATTATGAATTATATTCAAATATTCTATCATGCGATTTGAATGATGTTCAAATATTTGGATGCTAATACCTATGTACATGTTCATATACTCAACTCGATACTAGTTATCTAAGTAGTTAATACTGCTTTTTTGGACTTGTGAATGGAAAAAAATCTGTCAGAAGTTTCAAGTTTAATTTCAGTAAAACATAACTTCAAAGAGAATTGGGAAGTGCATAAAAAGATATCTGAAGAGAATGTAGTAAAACGAGACTTAATGTGGATAATTCGGCGAAAATCGTCTTAGGGGTGGGCCTGCTTGTCATCATTTCATTGTTAAAAGAGTGAAGACAAAACCATATATTTGTAGATTTGCGAAGTAAATGTAATCAAGTTTTGACATACAATGCATTTTTTTCATAATTCTGCACCATACATCGTCATATTGTCATGCACCTATATGTTGAAATAAAACGACAAATCAGCTTGCATTGTGATTTTCATTAGTCATTTGTAACACACATGCTACACTTAGTGTCTTTATCATTCTGACTTTCATAACATCAAAGTGACAGGACCGTTGTATGATAAAACCTTCAAAGCATGTAGCATACGTTCAGCTTTAGATCTCTCTGAATTCAATTGGAAATATTACCAGACCTAGATTAAACATTTGTCCATGTTTGCGAAAGGGAAGTTAAAGTGTACCAAATGTTCAAATATCATTGTGCTATTAGAATGTTTGTGAAAAAAGTATTCATACAAAAAAAGTTTTCATTCAAGAATGTTCGAACATCCTTTTCACATATAATTATGATAGCATGCTGTTGTTTACTCTGTGGTACAAGGTTAATTAATGGCTGGACAGAGGTTGACATTAAATTGCACACTTAAAAAGCCATCAATTTTAATCAATAATGATAATGGGATGTTTACCACCAGTAATGCCCTATAATGAGTTCTAATCTTTGGAATTGTGAAATTCTACTGATTAAATCCTCAGCTGCTGTTTGTTTCATCGAAAATAGATCTTTAAGATTAATTTACTGTAAGCAAACCTCTAGGAGAATGAATGCACAATTGTCCTTTTTCATGATGATTTCTAATAAAAGTTATGTTTTTTGATTGTTTTCTTCTCATATTTTCAGTTATTTGTTCCTAATAAACAATTCATCTGTCCATTCATCAAATCTTTAATCTGGCTTCCAACAGCACTAATAGTGTTTTGCAACAGGCATTAGTTTAATCATGTAGCAATATTGATTTCATCTAACAGAACTCTATATTTTCAGCTGTGGTTGAAAGTAAACCTGAGGAAGAAAGACTGCGTCAGGAAAATGCCAATTTGAGAACAGAAATAGATGCTTTGAAAATCCAGCTTGTTCTTACAGAAGTAAGAAATGGAGGTTTGTATTGAAATGTTTCTTTAATTTTTGTTTGATTTTTTCATCATTAAGAAATGATAATGCCATAAAAATACCGTTACAGGGACTTTTTGGGTTTTTAAAAAAAATCCCTCTGGAGTTTTCTGTTTTCATTGGGTATACTTTATTATCTTTACAGTTAAACAGGTAGCCCTGCCTTCCCAGGAAGCTATTGCCAGGTGTGTGGATAAGTCTAGATCCCAGGTGACGTCCTCAGCACCTGTTGTTGATAAGAAAGTGGAAGTAGTCCAGAAAACAGATGATGTCAAGGATCAACAGAAATCGAAGAAAAAGGGCAAGGATGCTGTCAATTCTGGTAAGGATTCAGGGATATAAGGAATTAATAGGAGTGTTTAAAATAAAATTAAATAATAACACGACATGGAGGACAAGGTCCTGGTCTCTACACTCTTTCTATCTATGTCTTATGTTAAGATTTATTTTTCTTTAAATTTTTTCATGAGAAAATACTTTGTAGCATATTTTACTTTTATAAACATTTCTAAGTAATATATTTAGGACCATTCTGTAATTAATTGTAACAAGAAATTGTTGTGTAATTTGCTAGAAGCCAAGCCTAAAAAGGGAAAGGTAGCTAACGCTGGTCCTGTCGAGCCAGAGAAGATGGACGTGTCTCGACTTGACCTCCGCGTAGGAAAAATTGTGGAGGTAGAGAAACACCCAGACGCTGACACACTGTACATAGAAAAAGTAGATGTTGGCGAGGAGCAACCACGAACTGTTGTCTCAGGGCTGGTCAAGCATGTTTCCCTGGAGGAGGTAAGTCAGGGCAGAAATTTATCAGTTGTAGTGGTCAAGTTTGCCAACTTGAAGTAAATTTTAGATAATAGGATTGGAGTATTATATGATGATTTGAACTCTTGATGGCTATGACTTGATTGTAACAATGTCAAAATGATAAAATCACTCAATATGACATTTGTTATGCTTTGATAATTCATAACAATCATTCATTATTATTCATTACTTTATGTAATTGGTAAATGCAAAATATTTCGGGATTGCATTCAATGACTATTAGATTTATAGTCTGATAACCCAAGAGCTGATGGGCATTCTTTATAAAAACATAATCGTCTGTAAAAAAGACTGGTCATCCACCTGTGATCTATCAGTCAACAGAACTATGTATAAATAAGAATAATGTGTATAATTTCAATAAAATGCAATGAAGTAAGACATTTCTGAAATTTTATTTCAATGATTTGGAAGCATAGTTACCTTGTCACACAGTGCTCATTGATCAACATCAACACTTTTGTATGACAACAAATGAAAATCATCTGTTCACATTCCACATAAAAAAAATACGAATTTTCACCCACTACTAGAAAAAAATTGAAAAATATTGCTGGACATGGTCATGGCCATTGTTTGCTTCAGATATGATTTCAGGATATTAATTAGGAATATCAGTCCCCAATCAAATCTCAGCGAATTCTGTGTCAGTTTAAACAAAATACTGGAGTTAAACTTCAACTCTGATAATTACTTTGGGATTACCAATGAAGAATGCTATCATTCACATTTATATTAGGAGGGAATGGTGAAAGTAGTCCTTGTGTATAACCCAATCAAATATGCTGCTCATATAATTATATAGCCTATTGAAAATAACTTTGTATCCAAATAAAACTGTGTGTTACAAATGATAATTAATTGTTATGAAATAATACAAACTGTACATTGACAGATGAAAGGTCGAGTGGCTGTGTTTATGCTGAACCTGAAACCTGCCAAGATGAGGGGTGTGTTGTCCCAGGCTATGATTATGTGTGCCAGTAGTCCTGAGAAAGTGGAGATCCTCATTGTACCAAAAGGGGCACAGATAGGGGACAAGGTGGTAGTCGAAGGTTACTCAGGTAAGCAGTCAGTTCTCTTTAACAGCAGTAGGGGACACAAATAGGGAACAAGGTTGTGGCTGAAGGTCACTTGGGTAGGAAGTCGGTTCTCTTTAATGGCAGTAGGGGACACAGATAGGGGCCAAGGTGGTAGTCGAAGATTAATGAGATAAACGGTTGTCTTTAATCACAGTACAGGATGCTGAAGGAGACAAGTTTGTGCATTATGATTACAGAGAGTCCATTCTTTTTCATGTATGAGGTAGCACAGATTTGGAACAAGATTGTGGCTAAAAGCTACACAGGAAAACAGTCATATCTCTTTGATGTAATTAATTCTGATGTATTTAATACCTACTTAAGTATGTAGTTTTATGAATATTTATTTTTGAAAACAATTATTCCTTTGATGAAGAGAAAGTTGAATAATCTTGACAATTATTTGAATGAACATGCTTTGGTCCCCATCATTAGGAGTACATGCATTACACCGAAATAGTTTGTCAGTCTGACCAAGGTCAAGTTCAATTAAATGAAAGAATTCATGCATTTTCTAACTATGATCTAAATATCTATGAAATATCTTGACAAATTATTTATATGAATATTATAACAACAGCCACATGCAAGCTCCTTATACTGTAACATCACTGTCAAGGTTACAGTCAAAAATTGAATTTCACCAAATATTTCTTTTTATCAGTTCTATATGTCATTATAAAGTAAAGTCAATATTCCCTATATAGATATGACCAGGAAGTGGTATAGATATACCTTTAAGGTCAAGAGCAGTTGGTCAATGGTTAGCAATAACTATTAATCTTTTCCAATAAAATATAAGTAGGAAATAAGCATTAAGTGAGGAATGTTTGATTGAAGTCAAGGTCAACTGCTTGCTTTGCAATTTCTTTTTTAATTGATCTATTACATATTTTATTAAAACATCGTGAGGCAAAGTTGATTCATTGTAAGATATGTTCAAGTTATCATACAAAGTTGTTTACACTCAAATCTCGCTAAAGATTCCTAATAGTAAATTTTTTTTTATTCCCCAGCTTTCACCGAAACGGGGGATGTTAATTTGTGTTTGTCCGTCCGTCATGTTTACTTGTAACCTCTAAAATATTTACTTACAATATGTTTTGAAAGCGGGGTATATAAATTCCATGAATTGGCTTGTTTTTCAAGACATTGCATCAAAGCAGAATGTATTTTTATGTTTTTAGGTGAACCAGATGCGGTGTTGAACCCAAAGAAAAAGGTTTGGGAGACCTTGAAGCCAGACTTGAGAACCAATAGTGATGGTGTGGCTACATGGAAAAGCGCCCCATTAAAAGTTGAAGGAAAGGGTCTAATTGTAGCCCCATCATTGCGTGATGTGCAGATCCAGTAAAATTTGTAAAAAAAACAACACCTTTCATAGGATCATTAAAATAAAATTGAATAAAACCATCAAATGGTCAAGCAGCTTGTTGTTTTCATTTTCAATACAAAGTATCAATCTTGGTTGTTTAAAGGAAATAGTCACAATATCTACTATATACTGCACTTAGTCAAACTGGTTACGGAATCACCCAAGCTTACCTCCATTTCAATATATACTCGAGGGATAAAGAAATGCAGGGTGAAATTATTTGCAATGTCTTGCGAACACATTGTTCAAAAACAATGAAAATCGGGTAAGCAGCTCTTTGCGTTATGTACAGTGCTCGTGGTCCTGTATCGAATGTTGTATTATTGTATTGCTTGACAATGTCTTTTGGGGAAAGCATGATATGGGAAAATCTTGTGCACAGCAGCGTTGTGACATTGAGATACACTGCTCGTCATAGCATTATGTAGTCTTCATAGAGACACATCATTTTCTGATGTTTTGATTACTTTCTGATAGTATTAAACAATTTCACGGCTGACAGAAGTTCAGAGAGGTCAGGCCATTGCAATGATTACGCAAGGTCAAAGGTAAATTCAGGTTGCCAGGCATTTTCGTTGTGGATATTTGCACTATAGAACGTCTTGTGAGACGTCTAAGAGAAACTGGGCGGGTTGCTGACAGACCTAGGACTGGGCGTCCATGTGAGACGTCACAATGTCAGGACAGGAATATTCGTCTCGAGCATTTGCGCAATTGGCACCTAACTGCCACTGAATCTGCCCTTCAAACCATAAGTACTCTTAACCGTCCTATCCATGCAAAAACTGTAAGGAAACGATTGCAGGAAGTTTGATGTCGTGTATACCGATAAATAAACAGTGTGTGTGTGTGGAGGAATCTCACATGGAGTTAAATCACCACTGGTTGTGGTAATGGATAATTTAGCTGCCACTAGGTATAGAGATAAATTCCTCCAACCCCATGTTGTCCCATTATTGCAGCAAAACAACCTCACATTCTAGCAGGATAATGCTTGGCCTTGTGTAGCGAGGATCTGTCTGAGAGCAGCCCTCTTGGAAGAATGGGCTGATGTCCCAATGAGGAGGATAAACTCGCTCATCATACCTAGGAGAATCAGGGCTGTGAAGAGAGTGAGTGGGGAACCAGTATCAACTAGCTCCCACAATCATTTCATTTTGATTTCAGATTACAGAGTTCTCTTTCAATTCCCTTCAATTACTCCTAAATCACTTACCGGTTACAAATCGTTGATTTTGCAGTTTGTTCTGTATGGATTAATTTTCATTCTTACATATAAAATATTGAACGTTATACTCAACGTCTTGCCTAGAATCATCTTCAAAGTATACCCTGCGTTTTTTTATCCCTCAAGTATATATGTCAAAACTTTATTTTAAGGATGTACTCATCGGAGAAGTTAAAAAAATCAAATATTAAACTTTTCTACTGATGATGATTTTTTGAAAGATTTGATTTTAGAAAGCAGCAAAAAATCAATATGTTGCAGCACTATTTCCTGCACATTCTTCAGAATATGTGCAACATGAAATAATTCAGTTGCATATATTATTTATTCCTGAATAACCGACATTCTCTTCTTTGTGGCAGGCTTATCAAAGACAAATTTTCATTCATAATTAGTAAGACATGATATACTTTGATTCTGAGAAGAAAAAAATTGTATGAAAATGCTAGGTTTTCATTTAATTTAATGAGCTTTAAACTGTAAAACAACCAAAAAATGAGATACTTTTCAAGATTACAAAAGAGGGTTGGGGAGTGGGGGGTGTCTGTGATTTATTTTTTGCAATTTTCACCAAAATAGCCACTTTTTCAGAGATCAAATCAGCTAAAATTTCTGAGAAGTAGTAACCCAAGTTGGAATTTATGAATTTAAAAGCTGTGATTTGTGGTGATATTTCCTGCAAGTTTGTTGAAAGAGATTTCCTGAGTTACACTCAAGTGAAGTACCTTATCAACCAGGAAACATGGAAATTGTTGACACTGTAAACCAAATCAAGCAGTCAACTACACCATTAAAAATGTCCACAAGTGAAATTTCTGTAAAACATCATATAAATCTCCAGTTTTCAAATTACAAGTACAAATATAGATGACGAAATGTATGTTGGAATCCATTTTATATTAAATTACGCCTTCCTTTCAGTCGAAACATCAGGAGTACATCCTTAAGAGCAAGTTATATGATACTAAAGTCATTCAGTGTTATAAAGACATAAACTGTGATGAATATTAGTGAATCATGGATTCCCCTGTGAAGGATTATCCATGCCAAAATATATAAACCTACATAGTATATATTGAAGGATTCTACCATGTGACCCAGGAGTAAGAGGATTAAAATAAATAAAAACCAAGTTTTATAAGGTTAACACACACATAGAACACCTTCCAATATAATCTGCTATAATCTGTTTGGGTGAACCCATTTTGAATGTGACCGTCTTGAGAATGACTGTAATCAAGATGGCTGCCAGCTACAAGTTTGGGTTTTGAGATTTGCAATTGTTACATCTCCAGTACTTTATAAAGGATCAGTTCTTGAAATTCCATCGTCATAATCATAACAGAATTAATGTTTTTGTTGTGTGTGCCACATTTTCTGTTTTATCCAGTTTTCACAATTGCTGCTAATGATCATCTTAACATTGAAGTTTTGTTGTTACTAAATTTCACCTCAAAGCTAAACACATATTCTTGAAAGTCAATCAACATTGTCTGTATAAATATGAAGCCATCTTGAATTTCGAAAGATTGAAGGTAAAGTTATGATTTTTTTTAAGAACTACCAAACTTAAGGATCGCCTTGAAACTCCAACATAATCACTGCAAGTTCTTCTTGTAGATGTCCTGTTTTGAGTATAATCAATATTTAAGATGTCTGCCATTTCTAATTTCAACTGTTGTATCTTATAAATAAATGAAGGAAATATCATGAAACTCAACCCTAAAGGTTGTACATGTTTGAAAGTAAATCTGTTGAGAGATTCACAAGGCATTTTGTACACAAGCACAAACAAAACAAGCTTACAGTTAGTGTTGCATGCAACACATGTCCCCTGCCATAAATTACTGTATTTATTAGCAAATAAGCCAATGTCTGCTAATAAGCCCACCAATGTTCTGTTGTAAAGCAAATGGGTGCAGATGCTACTTAACTGTTTGCAATAAGCTAACCCTTTACTATGGATCCAAGTTTATATATGTTGGCCCCATGATCTTATTCCAGTATAAATACATGATTTTTTTCAAGTAATGTAGAACTTGTCCTGTATCAGAAGTGTCTTGTTTTATGAAACTGTATTATTACCTCATAAGCTTCCAGTGTATCAAGATTCAACCAAATTCATCAATCCATTCCCAAATTATTGTCTGAAAACAAAATTGTGACAAGATTCTATTTTTAGTAACAGTGACCTTTGTAGTTGATCTTTAGACCCCAAACAATATCCCACACTATATTGCCTTATAAACTACCATTGTATGAAGTTTCATCCAAATCCATCAATCTGTTCTCAAGTTATCAACAGACAGACGGACGGACAGAGACAAACACTATAGTCCCCTCTGTTTTCATCGACAGGGGACTAATAAGTTAATTTGGTGAATTACTACCTTCCACTGAATGTGAAATTATATGCCAAAAAACAAAACAAAACATTCAGAGTGACTTTTAAAACAAAACACTCACCAAGATCAATCCATACTCCTTAAGTTCCATTGACCTGTAGTGTAGGAGATAGAGCCGAGACAATCTTTTCATTGATTTTGGTAAAAGGTCAAAATGCAGGTCAGAGTGACCTACTTTTGAAGTACATAACGCTTTCTCATCAAGGTGAACCCATACTCCACATTATGAATTTCCCATGACAAGATAACGAAAGAACAAAACTCAAAACCTCAACCTTTCAGTTACCGTTGGGTACTAACTACATACCACTGGCAGGCTCACACCTCTCCAGAACTATTAAGTTTAAATGTATAAGGCCCAATGAATTCGAAGTATATGGATTTTCATATGTAGTGGATACATGTTATTTCTACAAATCTAATATACCATGTGATGGGACAAAGGCATGGCATTTCAACATGGTTTGACATACATAGACTTTGTTGTACAAAACTTGATATTCATATAAAGTTGCCTTATTTCAAATTAGGACGAAAACTCTTGAACATAATGTGTAACTATTTTAATTGAGAGTGATTCAATAAAAAGGCACATGATAATTCCTAATATCAGAACAGTACATCAGCTGTACAGATGTGTTTGAGGTATTAACAATAAACTTACCAAAAGTAACCAGATCATCACTTCATTGATATTACAAAAAAATAACAGATCTCTTTATTTTTACATTGTTGAATTAAATACATAATGTATTGGTACAAACTTTCAATGTCCAATTACAGAATTATTTTTCAATTATATGCATTGCTTCAGTCCAAATAATTGGAAGTCATTTTTTCAACCATCTTGTTCAATGGTCCACTGATCTGATGATATACACATGTACATAAATATAACTTTATATGGTTAAGACACATATTTCTTTGACATCAAAAATTGAACTGAGTAATAACTGACAAAAATCATAATGTAAATAGTATTATGTTAAAAAAAGTGAAGCAAATATTTGAAATAAGACAAATATAGTTAAATTTCGCTTGGTAAGTCACTTCAAAATAAAAGTCAACAAATGAGAATGCATATGCCTTCACATAGGAACAGTCTACAAGCAGAATTCTTGAATTACAAAGAATCTACAAGCCCAATTCTTGAGCTACAAACCTACACGCCAAATTCTTAAATTACAGCTCACATGAGTGTTGTATTTATTGAAGACGACTACAAGTCTTGTGTAAACTTGTTACTTCATTGTTCTGTACATTGTAAATATAGCACTTTAAAAACAGATCAGAAAACCAAAGTCGAATCTTGATGACGTTACATGACTGTCTTGGTAGTGGAAAATGTACCGTCTTCATCCAAATAAGTCTGCCTTAAACGGAAATTAATTTGAGAGTATTTGATATTTTTCAGAACCTACACTTGTGGTAATGTAATATAAAAACTACATGTATAAAACCGTTCAATAATTTGATACATCACTCGCCTAAAGGCTCAGGATATAACTTGTTCCAATGTTATTACATTGACACTGATGTATCTTTTTACTTACTAGGACTGTCCGGTACAGACACGCCCAATCACAAAGTAACCATATGCAAGTGCATGACACAACATACAGAAGTCTAAACACAACAGCAAAGATATCAGCACACTTCATACAAGAACTACAGGGCACTACATTTGGTCCAGCCAACATCAAAGTTACTTCTAATGAATAGCTAAAACACGTGTCTAACGGAAAAAAATAATGGAATGTATGCTAGTCTTAAGTTTATAGCATAGCAAGAACCTCAACCCAAGTGATGTCTGGAAAATGTTAATTTTGGTACATTTTAACAATTTTTACACCAACTTTTCTATAAATTAGTCATAGATTTAAATCCTATTATTCTATTTCTAAAACTTTTCAAGGTATATATTAAAATATCATACATCACAGATAATATACGAAATCCTCAATAATTATAGCTCCTAATCATAAACTTGTAATGTACAATCCTTTTAATGTATGCAATAAATATCATTGACATGTCTACATCAAATCTGTTTACACACATTTAACTGAATACACATGATTTTAATCTATGTTTCAATTACTCTTAAAAAATGACTGACAGACTGACTCTACTACTGAAAGGATAAAACTCAGGTTGAGTGCATCACAAGGTACTGATCACATTGTCAGAACTGTTATTAGAGTAACGCATGTATATTTCATTTGCTCATTAATCAAATACTTTAAGTGGATCAAATATTACACGGTAACAATTAAAAAAATAAGGGATTTCCAAAATGAGTTGGTTATCACAGAGTACATGCTTGATGGTTTAATATTTAGGAAATATGCATGTTGTGTTACATAAATGTATATCAGCAATACACTTAAAGATAAAGAAAAAGTTAGCAATCTCTTTGACACACAAGTTCAAGCCACTAGTATCAAGGAGTAAATTTCCACTCCTTTCATTATCATTATTCTTCAATTCATACAAAATTTTGAGTTCAATTATTGTAGCGGAGTTCAATTATTGTAGCGGAGTTCAATTATTGTAGCGGAGTTCAATTATTGTAGCGGAGTTCAATTATTGTGGCGTGCAAAACTGAAATTAATATTACATTAATACAGGTTTTCAATATATCAAAAATTTGTTTACTTTGGTCAAGTTGGGAAATCACTTTATCACCTTATTTAAAGATTCAGGGCATTATTATGATTTGTTTGTGACTTCATTAGGAAGAAAATAAAGATACACAATTAGGACCGAGGCCTAAATATGGACCAAGGTATAGAGGAGGAAAAATAAAAGGTCACATTTCATATAAAAAAACAGCATGTCCACAACTGTTTCATCTTAACAATCTGGTAAAACATTCTCATCATATTTTGGTAATGCAAAAATAACAAAATTACCAAGTATTGTAATTTCTGTTTGAAGTTGTACAGAATGCTGTAAAAGAGTTGCTACACTGATGTAACTTGAAGATGTTTGAGCTGACTATCGTGAAGAAGAGAATGATACATGAATGTGATGGTGAATGACATCTTCACAGTGTTGCTCAGCAGCATGTCTCATTCTCCTTCCTACAAAACTAAGCCTGTAAACAGAGAAAACGGTAGCTTAAGTGTCGTTGTAAATTTTAGACATAAATTGTAAGTTATAGACATAAATCATTTTCATGTAAACACTCCCAAGAGGCAAAACTTGTTTTCTCTCATTTCCACCTGTGTCAGATTATAAGACTCGGCAAGCCTCGGGTTTTACCACATTTTGTGACCCCTCGGGTGGAATATCCCTATCCTACATACCCATATAGAAAAGAATCTTATAATCTACAATGTACAATTATAATCATTTTAGATGCAATGAAATTTTAGCAATAAAAACTTCATGAAAATTTCAAAATCTTATTGGTTACTTACAACAGTAAACTGTGCATCAATGCATTGGTTGTATTTCGAGTCTGTTCCAAAGGTCACATTAGCTTGGACTTGAAACTCTCCCGATATGAAAGCAGAGGCATCCACATCTATGGACATACCTTTAACGGTGTAGGTTTTCTACAAGAAATGAGTATACATTATCTTAGTAACCACAATTAAATAGCAATCTGGTAGATTCAACACTTGGAAATAAAACATATATTGCAACCTTTGAGTATTACAATTTTTATTCATCTCCGACTAAAACATCCACACTAGTTCTCTCCTAAAGGTACAGATATATATATGTTGTAATCTTCACATACGTGTAGAAATAGAATATATTAACCATTCCACAATCATATGCTAAACACATACATACACTAAACATATACACTTAGTGTCTTAAACAAATGAAAAAGCAGAGCCAGGAAGGCTATACTAAATAAAATTGTACACATTGGACATGTCCTTGTCATATATTACAGTATTTTTACCTTACTTTTTCCCTATTCACCTACGATTAGCTATTGGCTCGAGGATGGCTGTATTGGCCAAGGCTTTAAATCAATCCAATGATCGATTACTTTAGTGTTAGGTTTCTTATGCGCTTTCATTTCAGAAAGTCCAGTTGGTCTGCCATTGTTGTTGTGACAAGTGTTTATCAGACTCTATGTCATAAGTGTAAAACTGAGATGATTCAAACATTATGATGCATTCAATTTCCTGGAGTTTGGGTGCAAGATGGCTTTTTTCAGTATTAGACACAGCTCAAGGTTGTATTGTACAGGTGAGGCTAATTTAATGCATAGGCAGTTATCCTAGTACTACTACCAATATTTATCTAATTACATGTTATTAATAAATACCTTAACAACTGACAAGGATAAACACTGTACACATTCAAAGCTATACATATCCATTCTACCATCAGATTTCTGTTTAGTTGTATGTAAACCAGATGAGAGTATTTCAGGCTATGAACACCCATCTGGTCAAGTATATGAATAAACATTCAATGGTCAAAGTGAGATGTCCGCCAAAAAGTATTCCTGGTAGGTATAAATATAATATTTACATTCTGCGTTGTATTTGCCTATATATCATTAAATCAATTAATATGCCTATTTATAGTTTATGAGTCTGCATACCACAATTTAAAGTGATTCAGTTGGTGTTGGAATAAATAAATCAGATGTGTCCTAGGTAAACAAAACTGGCCTTCAGTGACTTTCACTTTGGTATCAATATACAGTGAACTGACATGTCCGAAGTTGTTAGACTTAAGACCTTCATAAAAATAAGTGAATTTAAGAAGCTATCAAATTATAACAGAACAAATCTATTGTCAAACATGTAATATTGCCACAAAATCATGATCACTGCCATTACATAACTGTTAGTGTATATATATATGATAATGAGATCACTGCCGTATTACCAAGTATATCAACTTTGTCTGCTTCAGTAAACATCAATTTGACAGTCCTCATTACAAATGTAGAATCTGTTACAATGTTTACAGGTACTGACCGGATCGACTTCCACTTATAAATAATTTCTGTTGTTATTCTATTTTGAAAATTTCATCAATCAACTTTAGACAAACTGTTTCATGAAATCTGACTGAGAGCTGTATCACTATTTAATGAAATATTAATGTGCAATAAACTGGTTTTATTTCAAACAAAAGAAAGACTAAAATGTAATTAATAAAAAATTGCAAGAGCTTACAATTATGACTACTATTTCAGACAACTGCTATTCATGATGACACTAGGAACTACATTTATTAAAGCTGTTCTCTGATTTGAACTTGCTGATGTCAGTATTTGGTGAAGTGGGAAATTTAAACTGTGTACTCCTGGTTTTTGTTTGGTTTTTTTTTTTTTATTTTTTTTGTAGATATTTAAGAAATATAAATAATATGCTGTTACCAGATGGGATAAACAGTTGACCTGAAGCTAAGACCAGTGAAAGCTTAATATTATTGTGTCCTAATACCATTGTATTTACCAGTTATCTTCCATCCAGATTGTGTTTAGATCAAATTTATACCTCATCTAGTATAGCAGATTATTGTTTACGCACTGGAACAATCAATGGCCATAAATACAAAGACACTGTAAATATGCTATAAAAATCTCTCAACATTCGAAAGAACAAGGATAATGAGATACTTACTGCTTTGAATGGACAGTGACAGCCAATTCCAGCTTTGGTAAGCTGGGGTGGACATGATACTGGTGCCAGTGCCTCACACAAGGAGGTGTAGGTGCAGGACCCAATATTGGCAATGCATGGCACTTCTATCCAATTACCATTGAAATTCCTCTTCATTTTCAATGACACCTGAATGTAGAAGGCAATGTTGGACATTAAATTTTACACAATGAATAATCCTAAAGAGACCAGAGGAAAATGGACATCAGAGCTACCGTTACCAAAGTCAATACAGTTGTGGTAACACATAACACACCTAAAACTTTGTGAGCAATCCTGTATACCATCACCTGCACATTGTGTGCACATACACACTATACTGTATCTAGTGCGCAACTGTGCTATAGTATTGCTCATTTTGTGCAGTTTGGTAAAAATGTTTGGACAATATTATGGGGTGAAATTGAAATGGAAAACTTGTGTAGTTATAACTACCTGGTAAATAGTAACCACAGACATATCAAAATTGATCTGTTATTATAAAAGTCAAATCCTATTCAACAGTTTTTGAAATAGCACTGGACCCTTAATTAGTTTGTCTTTCTATCGCATATTTTTGTACCTCAGAGAGTGCCAAATGGTGTACATTTGATGACAAAATTACCTGTATATTTGTATATATGTGAGAGGCCAAGATTCGTAGTGAAACAACATTTAGAAATATGTTAACACACTTCGTCCCTATGGATAATATATAAATACACTGTCCAGTCCTGGTGTTAACAAAATAGGTCACTATGGACACTGACAACAATATGAAAATACACTGTCCAGTCCTGGTGTTAACAAACTAGGCCCCTATGGACACTGACAACAATATGTAAATACACTGTCCAGTCCTGGTGTTAACAAACTAGGCCCCTATGGATAATGACAACAATATGTAAATACACTGTCCAGTCCTGGTGTTAACACACTAGGCCCCTATGGACACTGACAACAATATGTAAATACACTGTCCAGTCCTGGTGTTAACACACAAAGCCCCTATGGATAATGACAACAATATGTAAATACACTGTCCAGTCCTGGTGTTAACACACTAGGCCCCTATGGATAATGACAACAATATGTAAATACACTGTCCAGTCCTGGTCTTAATACTAGGAACCTATGGCAGAACAAATCATTATTAAGACCAGTGCCAGTAGTTAGTTACATACAACAGTACCAGGTGTGCAAAACCTTTTCATAAACGTGTATCCCTTGATAAGGCAATATTTTAAGATATTATATACCGCCAGAGGAGAGTCAATCGCCTGCTTTAAATCGATATCAGCATCAATGTTGAGAGTTCCTGGGAATTGTATTGGATCAGGAGTAATGTTCAAATTGAAGGTACTGCCAGTGTTTCCTCCACAGTTCTTGAACACAAAGTCCTTCAAGTTTGTTGGTTTTTGACCCTGCAAAAAACAAACATTGGTTACTAATTGTAAATGGTGACTCCTCCCTGCCCACCCCTCAGGAGGTCCACCCTGACAGGGGAACACAGCTGTCATAGGGCAAGACAAAGAAAAGGTTTTGACAGGCCTAACTTTGACCTATCAAGATCATGAGTATTTAAATCACCCCTACAGTCCTTGAATAAATCCTAACACCCTTCAGTTAGGTGCAAGGTCCAATGCGGCAATTAAGATTGGATGTCTGTAATCATGTTGTTAAGTGCTAGCACTATTTATAGTAAAATAACCAGGAAAATAAAACGACACTAGTATAGCTAAGATGTTTGAAAAAAAAAATCTAAATTCTGTTAAATATATGAACATAAAGATTGAATTTATTTGGGCCACTTCATCTGAAGATAATACTAGATATTCCATTTCTGTTTATTTAGAAATGAGATAGAAAGCTGAATGTTTATTGTCAGTTTTCATAACCAAAGAAGCTAGGGCATTTTATAGTTTAGAAGAGAGAAAACATACGGTAGTCAGTTGAACTAGTGATAAGCAACCCTGAAGTGCATGGGGTTGTACGGTGGTGCAGTGATAACGTATTTGAGGCCTTTCACCAAGCCATCTGAAGTTCAATTCCCCGAACAGACCTGAAAAGGTATGGGTCACCTAGGTACTCAACCATTTGGGTTTTCCCACAGTCATATTCCCAATGTACTTCCATGGGGTCAACAAGAGTGATTGATTAAAGCACGGACTTATATACTTGTATATAAGTCCGTGATTAAAGTTAGGAAAACTTGTTACACAATTGTTGTAAAATAAATAAAATTTATTTTAAAAGTACATATGTACTCTCTAACTCAAAATAGAATATATACACTCATTTCAGTTCCTACCCCTTTTTAATTTAACTGTTTGAAAGACTGTAACTGTATAAATGAATAAATTTTTGTTTTTGTTTCATACATCTCAAACGAAGACAGAAAAAAATTGTAAAATTCTGTTTATCATACGACACAAACCCCAAAATTTTAGGAAAAAGCTAGACAAAATCAGTGGGTGTCGACAGTATTGTGAATTTTGCAGAGTGAGTGTAAGAAAGTTTGATGCTTTTGTTTAGGTTGCCTTGTAATTATTGTGTATAACAAAAATATGTACACCATGGAGCATTAGACTTACAGAAATTGTATCATTTTCTGAAAACATTTCAAGCTGAAGTTTGAAGTTACATGGAAGAGAATTGCTACTGAACTGAAAAATATCCATACTGGATTTTGTTTACAACGTATATCACGCCACGAGCTGAAATTATAACGTCACAGGTGAAGAGAACCGATGGAAACCTTCAACCGATCACAGCAGCTTGCTACGTCATGTTACACGAGTAACACCAAACATAATGTGTTGTTATTGCAATAATGACAACATCTAAAACGTTTCCTGTACAAAACGAACACGGCGTGAAATTATTCACTCAGAATACTCACACCAAGGAATTTTTCCGCAAGCATTTCGAGTTCTCCTTCCGCCATTTTTGAGCTACTTCGGCCACGAGCTCGTGGGTGGAACCTCAATGTATCTGCTACGACAAGTGGTAGAACCACGAAAAGCGCAACATAGCCCACAGCATTCATCTTCGGGGTAGAACGGACAAGGCTGATATAACCAAGCACAGCAGCTTTGTCATGTGACCTTCGCTCGCAACAGGAAATAGCTTATTCAGGTTACCGGTGTCCGGCTAATTTTCTCACACAGTAAATCTTGGCACCGGCTGCAAAGTGTCCAGGCATTTCCTGCTATTTTCTTCGGTGAAATGGTATGATTTGGGTCTGGGGTTTCTTCCCATTTACCTACAACAATAGACTTACTTATTTACAACAAAAGCGAAAATAAGTTTTTCCAACTTAATGTAGCATTGGGTTGAACAAATAACCTCAATTCATTCGTAGGGTTGGTTATACTACTTATTAAGACCTACAATGTACAACTATTAGGGCATGAACTTCACAGTGAATAAAATGTGTTCAACCAAATAGAATAAATGTACAATTGTAGGAAACGGTTTTAAATTAAAACTTTAAAATGAATTAAAGTAACTTACCAGGGATGTGGCTATGAACGATGAACATTCCCTATCGAGTGTCGTATATAGAAATGATCCAGGGGATAGGTGTGGAGGGTATTAACAGGTGACTTGCATACTCACACTCTCACCCGTTCACTCTTTCAGCCAATCACAACACTTCTTTCCATATTTCTTACATACCAATGAAACAGGCAAGCGCGCGACTGGTCAACCCTGACCACTACTCACTAAATGTATGCACTCAATGCATGGATATAAATATATATATACCATTACAATATATGCACTGGGCTATATATTTCCCCCTCCCTGAATATATGTCTCCTTGCATCTCAACTATCCTCACATGAACAACATATTGAGTCATAAATTATACATTGAGAACGGTAATTGCTCTAGAAACAATCACAAAAACTGGCAATTGCAATAAACAGTTTCATTGCTAATAATCAGTTTTTATATAGCCAGAATTATTAAAACAATACAGAATACACTACATGTATATGATTTTAATTATTGTGCGATTTTTAGACCTCACACAATTAAAATTCATGTATATAACCCATCTTTACAGATGAGCTTTAAACTATATATCAGGGAAAAAGACAAGATATTAGGACAAATCAAAGAATCAGTTTCTGCACCTTCACAGGTATCAGCTCATGCTAAGGAGAATCTATATAAGAATGCGGTTGGGCCAGTCCCTACCAGCATAACATTGATTAACGAGCATGAATGAAACTAATACAGATGAAATGGGTTAAGAAACTGTAAACGAATAAAAAAAAATATACATAACAAATGAACAACCACGTGATTATGTTCATTATACCTCAAAGGGCCAATCTGGAGGTTGGGCCAGTCCCTACCATCCAGAGCCAGAAAAACCCTGCAGGTTTAGACTTAGTAAAATGCATTTTCAAGCTATTAAAATACAGTTTTCATCATAGTACTGTCATTAGTTTGATAGGTGGAGCTGTTAACTGACAGTTATTTAAGGTCTAGATTTGGTGTTGGACACTGCAGAGGAAATATCCACTGTCCATAACGGTCATGGGGGTTTCTGGTCGACCTTCTGGCTTCAACGACCCCGGAAACATCCTGTTCTTGATAAACTGAACTGGACTCTTCAAGTATATCACTTCCCAGGTCAGTTATATCAACTGTACCCGTCCTCTGTGTAGCAGCATTATCCGCTAATACGGATATACGATCAGAGGTTTTATCATGGATTTCCCTAGTCTTCTGCAATTTCCTGGGACGCTTTGCGTGGAAACCAGGAGTATGAAGCTCAAGCTCCGAACCTGAATCGGTGTCAGATTCTGAGGTTGATGCAACTGGATGGGGCACTGCCCGACGGACAGGATTAAACTTTACTCGCTTAACCTTGCGGTTTGGTGAGTCAGGGGAACATCTAAAGGGATGGAATTGAAGGGAAGCAGTATATTACGGTGCAACGTACGAGTACGTCCTTTGCCCGATTCATACTTCACTTCATATACAGGAATTTCAATTTGGAATTTTGATAACCACATAGGGTTCCCGTTCCCACCTGTCTGTCAATTTGTGTTTGTCCTTGAGACCAACGTTTCTCACTAACACGCGGTCTCCAATGGAATGGATCTTTTGTTTTGATCGGATATCTTTTTAGCTTCATTTTGTGCGGATTTGTATGCATGTTCCATCCTAGTCCGCAATTTGCCAACATAGGCAGCATGATCAGTTCCCAAGAATGCGACAACCGAGGATGCCAACCAAACATGAGGTAGTGTGGAGAATACCCCGTAGCACCATTCTTGGTTGCATTGAAGGCCTAGACCAACGGACTTATATACGACATCCAGTCAGCCTTTTTCACCTCGTCCAGGGTAGCAATCATCCTGAGAAGGTTTTGGTTAAAACGTTCTGCAGAACCATTCCCCATTGGATGATAAGGGGTGGTTCTGGTCCTTTTCACACCTGCCAGTTTGCATAGTCTTTGATGATTTTACTCTCAAAGTTTCTGCCCTGATCACTATGTAGCCTTTCTGGAAAGCTATAGTTAACTAAGAAATGTTCATATAAGGCTGTTGCAGTGGTCCGTGCCGTTTGATTGCGACAAGGGACTGCCATAGCATACCTGGTGAAGTGGTCTGTGATAACCAGAATATCCTCTATTTCACCTTTACACTTGTCGACGGTGAGAAAATCTATATATACTAACTCATGAGGACGACTAGTGTTAATAGGAACTAGTTCAGCAGCTGGTTTGACTGGGGTTTTTCTTCGTATACAAGGCCCACAGGTCTCATATTTTTTATTTACATCACTCTCCAAACCTGGCCAATAAAACCGTTGCCTTGCCAACCAAAGTGTTTTTTCCTTTCCCCTGATGACCAGTATGCTCATGTACACCCTTGAGTGGAAGGGAATGATACTGCTTTGGAAGCACTAGCTGTTTTATTTTTTGACCTTCTAGAGAAGTGGTTCGGTAAAGTGTACCGTCCTGTAAACTCAATTTGTTCCAGGTGCGAAACATTGTCTGGACACATACCAATTCACCCTGTACCATTTCCTCCCAGGAAGAAATCCGGTTCTCTTCAGGTCAATAACCCGCGCCAAATCTTTGTCCTGCTGATGCTGTATTTTCCAATCCACTGTAGCAAATGTATCTGTCACAGCCGCGCCCACATTGGTCAATCAACTAGTGGTACCACAGTGACTGCTGACTGGCAAACTGCCTGGACAACATCGGAACTTACCGACAAGCGTGAGAGAACATCTGCATCTGTATTCTGTTTCCAAGGGCGATATGATAGGGTAAAATCGTAGTTCGCAAGAGCTGCAATCCATCTATGCCCAGTAGCATCAAGTTTAGCTTTACCTAAAACATTAGTCAATGGTTTATTATCAGTGACAACTTTGAATGAGTTACCATAAAGATAATCATGAAACTTGTCTGTCACCGCCCACTTTAGACCTAGGAACTAGACCTTATGAGCAGGGTAGTTTCTCTCATTAGGACTTAGACCACGGCTAGCATATGAGATCACTCGCTCCACTCCATCTTGCTCCTGATACAAGACAGCACCTAAACCTAGGCCACTGGCATCTGTATGCAAGATAAAGGGCTTTGTGTAATCAGCATAAGCCAACACTGGGGGACTTAACAGCTTCTCTTTTCAGGTATTAAAGGTTTTCTGTTGGGGTTCCCCCCAAATCCATTAAGCCTTTTTCTTGACCTTTACTTTAAGTTTGGACTTGGCAGTCTTACTTTTCTTAGTTAGGTCATGATCTTGTAAGAGTTGGTTCAGTGGTTGTGAAATGGAGGAAAAATCCTTTATGAAGCGCCTATAGTACCCACTAAAAACCAAGCCGTTGACGAAGCTCCTTAACATTCTTTGGCTGTGGACAATCCCTTACAGCGGACAACTTAGTAGGATATGTTGCTATGCCCTCTTCAGACACAACATGCCCTAAATACGTAACAGAACTTTTGAAAAACTCGCACTTGGATGGTTTAAGTTTTAGGTCGTACTAAACTGCGAAAAACGGATTCTAATCTCGTCAGGTGCTCGTCAAACGTTCTGGAGAATATGAGAATGTCATCAAGAAAGATGAGACATTCTCTCAGATGCATAACCCCCCTGCATTTTTCTATCATGCTTTGGAATGTGGCTGGGGCACACGTTAAACCAAATCCCATGCAATTTGTTTCGTAAAGTCCCAGATTTCCAACAGAAAAAGCAGTTTTAGGGCGATCCTCCTCTGCAACCTCGATTTGCCAGTAGTCCGCTCGAAGACCTAGTTTCGAAAAATAACAATTACCGGTCAGAGTGTCAATAGTTTCATCGAACCGAGGAAACATATACGCATCTTTTCTAGTACGCGAGTTAAGCATTCTTAATGCTCCATTCTTCTTACGAACCAGCACAAAATTCGAAGAAAAAGGACTGTTAGATTCTCAAACCCGCTTCAAGCATTTCCTTGATGTGCTGGCGGACCTCTTCATAAATACCAGGAGGTATTTTACGGCATGGTTGTTTGAAAGCAACCATAGAGGCCGGGGCGGACGCGGTCGTCCTTTCTTACGGCAGGGCCAGAATTATCACGGCAGAGGCCGGGGGTACAGGAGACAGAATGCTCAGTACCAGCAACAGAGTGTGAATCAGGCACAAGGGCCCCGGAAATCGAAAGAATAGATTTTAAGGTTAGTGAAAATCTACCTTCAGGTCGTTTGAGCTCAAAAGTTTCATTTTGGGAGTCCATTACAGATGATGAATGGGTGTTAGGAACAGTTCGGGGGCTCAGATTAGAGTTTGGTGAGACCCCAGTACAAACTAGGCTTCCTGATTCTATATCCTTCAATGCACAAGAAAAGGATTTGATTGATAATGAGGTACGCGAGTTGTTGAGGAAAGGAGCAATCTCGCGCTCATCAAGTGAGCAGGGAGAATTTATTTCGAATATATTTTTGGTACAGAAGAAGAACGGCAAGTTTCGCCCTGTTATTAATTTGAGGAAGTTGAATGATTGTATAGTGTATCATCATTTTAAGCAATAAACACTAGAGGTGGTTCTTGAGGCAGTTGAGAGAGGAGACT